ACATACACACACACACATACATACACACACACATATACATACACACACACATATACATACATACACACATACATACATACATACATACATACATACATACATACATACATACATACATACATACATACATACACACACATATACATACATATATACGCATATACCAGTGTGTGAATGTGTGTGTGAATGGGTGGATGACAGGTTGTGTAAAGCGCTTTGGGGTCCTTAGGGACTAGAAAAAGCGCTATACAAATACAGGCCTTACCTTACCTTATATACACATATACATACATATATACATACATACATACATACATACATACATATACACATATATATATATATATATAGCGAAGAAGCTATCACAGCTATCACAAACACGATAGAGTGCAAAGGGTGGTGCTACCAGTTATTACGTTTAGGGAGTAATTAATTAATTAATTAAGTAATTAATTAATTAATTAGGGAGTAATTACTTCTTATATTATAATAATTATAATAATAATTATAATAATTACTTCTTCGCAAAGGACCAGGTTTGGATATTTTTTGGCTTTTAATAAATCAAATTTTCATTTCAAATCTTCATTTTGTCTTTACTCGGACTGTGTATGTCTAACATTACAAATTCTTTGATGATCTGAAGGATTCAGCACACATATGATAATATGTCAGTAAGTCATTAAGAGTGTTTGGTCAGGCAGATCTCTGTGCAATGTTACAAGCCAAAGGGGAGCAACTACAGCTTTGGATGGACTATGTCATTTCAATACTCTGCTGTAATATATCACTATTTATAATACTTAATTGCTTCAATAAAGAACAAATGCTTCATTAACTCCTATCGATTGCATACAAAGGTGTTATTCATTGTTTTGCCCAACTAAAGGCAGGCTACTAACCATGTCCTGTATGATTAGTTATCAGCTGCAGTTACAAAAGTGTTGCTCCATGGGACACAGAGCACCTCTGTTATCTGTCCCTTACACTGAGACAACCCCGGCAGGCTCCACAGTCTGCTCCTGGGCCAGGATCTGTGGCAGCCTCTACAATAAGCTCTGAGGCTTAGGCTCATTTGAGAGGCACAGTGACAATGCAGACAGGCTATCAGTATTGTGCCACACTCACAACAGCTATTTTTGCATTGTTCACAACAGAGGCAACTGGGACAGGAGTTGTGAGCTTTTACAAGTTTAACTGCGCCCTCATGAGCACTAATCTCAGACAGCCTGATGTTATCAGGGAACCAGACTGCCCAGTCAGGCGTGCAGAGGAAAGAGACAGAGGCCTCCCAAAGAGAGACAAACACACAGCGTCTCTTCTGAGTGTTGGAGGAGGCAAACTGTATGACTAATGCTATAACATTTCAATGTGTGCATGAGCATCATCGATTACAAGCTTTGATGGTGACAGACTTTAAAGGCGTCGGCGGTGCTGTCCAAAAAGCTTTGAACACCTAACTGTGTGAAGTCAGCAGACATGAAAAGAATCACAGAAGTTGTCGGTGTTTGCGCTGCAGATTAAAAAGGAGATCGGGGTTCTGAGCCGCTGAGTCACAGGCTGCAAGTTTCTCTCTGAGCTTCTCACTTTACTTTACATCCATTTCCTGAACTACTGGCATGCAGATTTTTTTTTTTTTTACCAAGGGTGAGGTCAGATTTAGGACAACAGATTTTCACTCCAGTTTCCGTCTGCCTGTCCTTTCTTCCCACCTGGGCCCCATGTGCGGAAAAACAGGTTTCTTTTGAGAGCATGTGCATGTTCGGTCACACAGCCTGCAGACAGGCGCAGCCGTTTAAAAGTTCAAAGCTTTGACTAATGTGCTTCTGATTCCCTGAGAAATAAGTTCATCTTGGTCTTTTTCATACACACCCTGTGGAGAGGTACAGTGAATGACATCTATAGATTAGAATGCTCTTTGAAGTTCTGGCAACTTGTCTTTTATGTACTTGGAATTTAGTGAAAGACAAGCAGCTAAAAAGCCCCAAACCAGGTGCTGCTCTCTTCTACTACACTTTATCATGCTGTATTCAGTTTCCTCCTCCCTCTGCTTTGATTATTTTCCAAAGAAATTAGATTTGGCTTTGGGAGATATTGCCTTTATTTGACAAATACAGAAGAGCAACAGACGGACAAAAGAGGAACTGCCCCACCATGTCTGAAGCTAAATCTGGACGGCCAGATGCAAGACAACATGCCAGCCAGCAGCTGTTGCTATTAATATGGAAATTAATGTGGGTGGGGGTTATCATGCAAACCTGTTGCAAAACTCACTTTGAACATGTGTAATAAAAAGAGCTTTGAAACAACACTTTTTAAAAAACTTGTTGATTTTTTCATCCACCCACTTTGACTGCAATCCATCAACAGTTGTTTGATGGCTAACTTAAAAAAGTTTTCCATCTAAATCAGGGATGTCAAACTCATTTTACATTGCGAGCCACCTACAGCCCACTTTGAAGTGAAACTCCCCTTTCTGAAGCCACATATTTGACTGTTTTCTACATCTTAAAGAAAAAGTTGCTGCGACAAAGAAAAGAAATCTGTCAGAAAGTTGAAATCTCTTTAGTACTGAATAGCAGAAATTAGACTCTCTTGTCAGATGTCATTTTTTGGAGGAAAAAAAAGGAGGCCAACAACACTGTACACAATGATAAACTGGTGTGTAATGAGCAAGAAAATAAGGCAGAAAATAGAGATTTTTGATGGGAAACTGGTCTCAAAGTACACTGAGTGAAAGCTGTGAGGGAAGACAGCCAAAGTAAGTGGGAATTCATTACAATGTTTTTCAAACGTAAGGTGTAAAGTAGTCGTCTCCTTTTGCTGCTGGTTCAGTGAATTTTGGTTGGAGAGTGACAAAATCTGTAGTTTTGGAATCTGGGAGATGTTGGCTTCCCGCACCTGTTCGTTAATTGTTTGCCGTTTTAGCTTTTTGGTGGTTGTTGA